GAGGAGTGGAAGAGGGGGATCGCAAATTGCACTTCTATATAGAAATAATTTTTAAAGAGTAAACATCTTATAGAAACTTATTTAAAAATGGCAAATTTTTATAGAAAAAGATCTAAAGTTAAACGTTTGTATAGAAAATTATCTAAAAGAATACAAATTTCTATAGAACATTCCCTAAAGAAGATAGCTTTTCTATAGAATCTTGCTTAAAAAAGAAACTTTTTTGAAGAAGACACCATAGACAATTATTTAGTTAGTTAGTTAGTTAGTTAGTTAGTTAGTTAGTTAGTTAGTTAGTTTGAAAGGAGGATGAATATACATCAAATCCGAAGAAATACACCTAGGCCTCTATCGGGCCTGTTGTGCGCTCCTTAACCAGTGCCTCCGGTGGAAATCGAACCCACCACCTCCGGTCTACCAGACTAGAACACTAACCACTAACCTACCGGAGGCCATAAAGTTTTTAATATCACAAATTTATGTAGTTATTTTGCCCCCCCTAGCTGAGCGCTCCTGTTTTAACAAATCCTTTTCTTGGCATTTGCGCATTGTTGAGATTTTCTTGCTGAAATATTGTTGCTTATACCTTACTAACAGGGGACAAAAGTATGAGTGCGTGTTTTATTACAACATTTGTTTTGATTATTACTTTCTTAATAATTACCACTAAAACATAATTAAACAAATGTCAACTATTAGCCTAAAAGAACTAAAAAACCCAACCCAATTAGAAAATTTTAATAAAAACCGAAAAAAGCTGCTGCTGACCTGTTGAAACAAAATATCAAATTACTTTACAAATTAATTACCTCACAAAAGCAAAATACATAACAGCCAATACAGACACCGCCAGCAGGGTAATGGTATGAGGTTTATAAAAGAAATCCAAGGATATATCATCGACAGGACGTTCATTAACCACCAAAAAAGTTTCGGCTATCTCCTCAGGCTTTGGCTTAGGAGTATTAACTCCACGTGTTTTGATTGGTGTGGTGGGTGCACTACTGGCACCAGATTTAACGCTAGCAGGTGCATGTAGAGTAGAAGATGTATTACTGCTATCGGCAGCCTCGGGACTACCACGTGAACTAGAACGTTTCTTCATGGTGGTTTGTTTTCTTTTCTTAAACACTACACTTTTTCTTTTATTTTTTCTTAATAAAATTAAAAGACTATTTAATTTAAATATCGTTTAGCTAAAAAGGGGAGGTGGAGTTGCGCAACCACTGCCCGGACCGATTATGTGTATGATTCTTTTGCGTTAGTTGATTTTATGCAAAATGAACCATTGAATTCTTGGGTAAATGCTTATATAAATGAGATTTTTTTCGTTTCCAAACACTACTACACTAAGTAATTAGGCCTTTTTTTGTTGCTATTAATTATACATTATTTTTATTTTGAAAATATTTACGAAATCTTTGAAAATTTCATTAAAAAAACGTTTTTTTTATGAAAAGAACACGTCTTTTTGTAAGGAAATTTGCCGGAATAATGAGCACGAGAGTGCAATTGTTTTGTTGTTGTTAACTTTTTGACAACTGATAAAAAAAGCGAGAGTATAGTGATGCCAGATAGCAAATATAGTGGCATAATGCAAGGCATTTTTATGGGTAAAGTTACAGTGGAACTTAAATATATGTTTTTATTACTTTTTATGGAAAATCATATATATTGAAAGATAATGTGCAAATAATTCCTATATTTTTATACAAAATTAATGAAATTTTTTATAACAATTGTTTTTTAAAAAAGAAAATTAAAAAAATTTCTTTTTTGTTTCAAGAAAATTTTTTAAATTTTCTATATATTTAGAAAATTTTTAGAAATTTTCTAGGTTTTTATAAAATTTTCTTTGTTTTTCGAAATTTTCTATGCTTTTAAAAAATTATTCGAAATTTTCTAAGCTTTTAGAAAATTTTTCGAAATTTTCTATGCTTTTAAATAATTTTTCAAAAAAATTTTTCAAAATTCTCTGTTTTTATAATTTTTTTTTCGAAATTTTTTATGTTTTTTAGAAAATTTTTTGAAATTTTTTATGTTTTTTGAAATTTTTTCAAAATTTTCTGTTTTTTTATATTTTTTTGTTTATATCCCCCCTTTTCACTAATAAAAACACTCTGGCATAAAACTCCGGTAACTCTTTTCTAAGTGCTGCCAAGTTTTTTTGTTACACATTATTGCCAAGTCCCTCATTATCTCACTATTCTTATTGTTTATGCAAGGAAAATTGATATAAAAACAAAACTTTTACAAAAATATTGAAAAAATCCCATTAAAAAACATGGAAACACCACATAGTACAACAAATACAAAAGGTAGGTCCCTAACAACAAACAATTTACCCTAGAAATATATAGAAACATATTCTTCTTTCGCCAATAAGAATTTGAAGTTACGGGTGTTTCACGCAGTGGACGTGTACGTAAAAAGTCTTCCAAACTTTTGGATTTTCAATCACCCGATGAAGTGGAAAGGAAAATCTACAAACGCACTACAGCCAGCAGTCATCATACACCAAGATCATCGGGTGTTAAGTATGCGGGTCGGGGTAGACCAAGTTTGGCTGCCTTAAAAGCACGCAGAGCGGCCCGCGTTACGGGAGCAGATGAAGAAAATGATGTGGCAGCCGATGATGAAGAACCGGCGGCGGAGGAGGATGTAAAAGATAAGGAAGAGGTGATGGATGTAGAACAGTCTTTAAAGGAAACAGCTGATGAGGATGAAGAAGAAGAGGAGGAGGATGAGGAAGACATAAATGATGTTTTGCACAATACCAGTGGCTTGACGGCAGCAACCGACTCAGATGATGATGGTTTTGGTGAGTTGGTGGCTGATTTGGTGGGTTCAGAAGCAGCCAATTTAGATGGCCCGGTCGGCAATCAAAAATCTCCCTTTAGACAATCTTTATATATGACTGAAAAAAATAAGAAATTGAAGGAAAATCGTGTAGAGCGCAAAGATAAGGGCAAGACCCGCTATACAGCCTACAATATGTGGGCTAGAGAACATCGCAAATCTAACAAATTTGGTAAAACTTCTGATATAGATCATCAGGCTGCTAGACGTTTACATGAATTGTGGTCTAATGTATCCAATAAAGAGAAAAATGCCTGGAAACGTAAAGCCAAAATGCAAGCTACCAGAGCTAAACAAAGAGAAAGGGCGGGTATAACTCAAACCAACAAAACAGCAATACAAACTGGAGCACAAGCAGCAAATCCACAAAATTCCACATTTATTAACCGACCCACCACCAGTCGCACCAAAAAATTAGCAGAAGATAAACAAAAAGCCAAGGATGATATGCTGGTAGCTAAACCTAACACAATACAAACTTCTACCCCTAAAAGAACACGCAACAATTCTTATAGAAGAAATCAAACAAATACTTCCTCTAGCGCAACTAATGGCAACAATACCTCTCCTTTGTATATAGCCACCAATGGCTCTACTAATAATTACAATAACAAAACGTTGACTCTAAACAATTCTAAAACTCCTTTACCCAACATAGAACCCATAGATGCAGCGGCTCACTTAAAATTACTGGGTGAAAGTCTTAGTATTATAGGTGATCGTCTTAAGGAACATGAGGGACAAATTGCCGTTTCCGGCAGTTTATCCGTACTGCTGGACAGTCTATTGTGTTCGTTGGGTCCTTTACTCTGTCTGACAACACGCCTACCCGGCTTGGATAAGAAACCACAATTAAAGGCCAATTTGGCTACAACTTTGGATAATATAGCATATGTTATGCCAGGACTGTAAGCAGTAAGATGCTGTGGTAATGATTGCTATTGGGTGATAAGGTAATGAACTATTTTTTTAAGTTGAAAATAAGCAGAATAGTTTTAAAATGAATAAAGAAAGAAATATTTTAAAAAATATCTTTTGAACAAAGATCCCTTCTCTTGGGAATCTAAAGAGAGAGAGAGAGAGACTAACTAAAAGCCTTTGGTCCCGAGTATAAACTATTTATAATAGTAAAGATTAGGCTATAGTCCTAGCAATAAAGTATACTATAGTCCAGACTATAGATAGACTATAGACTTGACTGTAGATTGGACTATATACTGGACTTAGATTATAGACTAGACAATAGAGTAGACTACAGACTTGACTATGGACTAGATTATAGACTAGACTATAGACTTGAATATAGTCCAGACTATAGTTCATTTCTAATACAATTCTAGTTCAATTCGAATACAATTCTACTACAACTTCTAGTTCAAAATTTTCCCAAAAATGGTGAAATCAATAGTTATTTTATCGATATTTTTTATTATCTTTTTATTGATCATATCATATAAGTTAAGAACTTGTTTTCATTAATATTGTATAATTAAAGTTGTAAAATAATACAACATACACTTTTAAATTGGGGGAATGTAAAATTGCTTAAGGTAAACGTTTTCGAACAGGTCCATTAATAAAAAAAAAAAATATATTAAACAAAAAAACTAGATCCAATAATAAATTTTAAAAAATAATTTCAACAAATTTTGTAATACCAACACATTACTAGCTACAAATTACAAATTAAACATAATAGGATTTGAGGACAATTTTCAGTAATTGACTCAAAAAAATATATATAGCGTTTGCCCATGAACACATTACGTTACAAAAAAACCAAATCAAAATATATATTTAGTTTAAAGGCTAAAATAAACACATAAAAGGAATGTTTTTTTTGTTATAAAATTAGTTAAAAAGAGGGTTATTAGGTTTTCCAAAAAAGAGATTCATTTCTCTTTTTTTTCTAACTTTCTTTCGTTTCAGCAAAACAGTCTCATTAAGTAGTTATGGCTTGTTGTTGTTGGTTGTTTGAGTAACATAATAACCTTAAATTAAGTTTTTTTGTAAATTACAATTGTTGCGATAGCCCGGCAGCGGATATATTATCTCCAGCTCCTGCGGTCTTTTTGGCCACACGACACACCAAAACCGGGGCTACACAGATTTCTATATCCAATGACTTTTGTGCGTTAATTTGTAAAGTTTCTGACCAACAGGGCACCGGATTAAGGGGATCAAAAGCAATGCGCTCAGCTTTAGAGGGATCTAGAGATGTCGAGAAACTATCATCTAATACTAAAGAAGCAGATTCAGGATTGATCTGTAACGGCAAAGAAAATATATTAATATATGCATATAAGTATAACAGCAGTAATTGCTAGTTATCTTACCACTTGTGTTTGACACACATAACGATGAGCGATTAAGGCGGCCTTGGCAGCTCCCAATTTTGTATTCTTCCACTTGGAATCTTTAATCGTTAAGAGAGCCTGATAAGCCAAAGTATGCAAATGAATTCTGGACACCATTCTCCTTTTAGTTTGACCCATACTCGTAGTATTTTTATAATAATCTTGTGCTAATATAGAAAAAACTTTACGCATTAAATCTAAAGTAGTAGCTACTCTTGGATTCCAATCAGAGGCCAATGTCGTGCGTCCATGCTCTAAGACTTGTGCTAAATTATCCAATTCCTGTTCATTCATACCCAAAGAATCAACATAAGGCAAAATAAATTGTTTCAAATGCTGCAACAGTTCTATTTCTACATAAGAGGCCATTTCGAAATGTATTAAGGTCTTTTTGGTTAAAGAATTTATCTGTTGATTGACCTTAAGTAGACGTTCCTCTCTAATGCCTTCGGCAAATTTATAACTATCCATCATTTGTATGCCACTGATTATGAACAAATCGGGTTTATAGGTTTCAATGGCGGTTTGTAAATGTTCGAGTGAGTTTAAATGTGGATTATTGTGATCGTTGTGTAAGATATAGCGATTAGCTCGTGGGGCTGTAAAGGGGCCCCATGTTTCACCAGCCTTGTATTCTAATATCAAATGTATATCATCTTCTTCGATAAAATCACCAGCGATTTTAATGGTGTCCGGTATTAGGCGGCGTAATCTGAGGGGAGAACGTAAGGGGATTAGAAAATATACTTTATTCTCCACTATTTTTAAAGAAAGCTGCCAGTCTGTAGACTAACTTATAGAGCTGATTATAGTCTTGCTAATAGGCCAAACTATAGACTGGGTTATAAGCAAGACTATGAACTAGTCTATAAGTCAGGTTATAGTCCGGAATATATGCCAATATAGGAACTGGGTTACAGACCAGGCTATACACTACTCTATAGACCGGACTATAGATTAGACATGTACAGATTGTAGGCTAGGTTATAAACCGGACTATAGGAATATATTCCGGACAATAGAATACAGTGTAGAACAGTTTATAGTCCATAATATGACAAAACGTAAGTCTAGACTGTGAAATATAGTCAATACTATTGACTTCTATATGGTTCAGTCCATAGGCTACTGTATAGACAACTCTATAGACTACTCTGCAGTCCTCTACAATCCTCAGTATAAACCACTCAATGATCCAGATTATAGACTACACCCTCGTCCAGACTATAGCCTACTTCATAGCCCAGATTATAGATTACTCCATAGTCTAGATTGTACATTACACTACAGTCCAGACTATACACAACTCTATATTCAAGTCTATAGACTACTTTATAGTCTAAACTCTAAAAAATTTCACGTATTGTTTATTGAGAACATTCCTTGATTGCGTTGTACATACTCACTTATGAGAAATTCTAGCACCCAATAACACCTCCCAGCCTTCCTTATCAAAACGTATACCCATCAATGGGGCATTGCCGCCAACAAACCATTGCAAAGAATCACGATGTTGTTTTTTTGGCAATTGTATTAATTGTCTAAATAACTCTGTATTGGGCATCACACGTCTATAAATAGAAATCAAAACAAACATAAATTAATTAAAAACATTTATATCTTATCAATCAATAAACTACAACAAAAAGTAGGAAATTTCCACTTACTCTGCCGCTGCACCATTGCGAAAATAATATGCAAATGTTTGTAACAATTCCGCCTCATCATTCACCTCATCCACCGTAAACTCTGACCCCACATTGTCTGGTATTATGGCAGCTGAATAATTAAGAAAATCAGTTGCGTGAATTAACAAATCACTGCAGGCACCATAGCCTAAAGCCACCTTAGGTTTACTATAGTTGGTGTCATTCCAAGGTCGTTTTAATTGACTCTCAATAGCCAATAAACCAGTTAAAATTTGAGTGATTTTATTTAATTGTTTCAACGACAAAAATGCTTGCCAAACAATCGATATTAAAGCCGCAAATACCGAGAAGGTGGTTATTAGAGACATGTACTTTAATAGAGACGACATTTTTATGCAGACTGCTGTCTTAATTTTTCAAGAATTCTTTGTCTTTTTTAGAGTTAATTAAAACATTTAGGTTTTTTTGAAGTTTGTTGTTGCAAAAACCAATAATATAAAATAAATAATTTGAATATTAATAATTTAACAAAGAAGAATTGAATGTAGGCGAAAGAAACGAAAACTTGCACAAACAAACCGGCTGGCTGGTTGTCTGGTTGCGGATGTTGGTGTTTACTTTGTGAAGAGAAGCAAGAGATTTGAGTGTGATAACAACTGTCAACGTCACTTTTTTTATATAAACAATAGTGTTGTTAAGTTGCGGGTTAAGAGAAAAACGCTTAAAAGTTACAAAGTTTACAGAAGTTTCATAGGGAAATGTGCTAAATTTCAAGGGCAGTTTTTAAACTAGTTAATAATTTAATTTACACTGCAATCTAAAGTCTTTTTTTAATAGTTTTTGCGATATAGAAATCCAATTAGATTTTTTAACTGAAATAATTCTAGCGATTTTAACTTTTTCTTAGAAAAACTATTTAAAATACTGCGTTAACCACACTGTTGTTATCATCAACAATAAAACAGAGTTGTTTACAATGACAAAATGCCACTCTGTCATAAACATTGAAACGGAAGTGCTATAAAAACGTTTCAAAATAAAATTTTGAAATAATTTTCGATACAGTCTTTAAGTTTACTACAATTGTTAAAGAAATTTTAATATTTTTAAGAAGTATATTAAAAAAAACAAAAGATTAGCACTATTAGAATATAGACCAGGCTATATACTTGACTATAGACCAGTCTATAGACTGGAGTATAGTCTATACTATTGACTAAATAGTTGTAGCTTTCTGAGCTTATTTTTGCTTTCAGTTCAAAAACATACTTATAATTACCTTCACAACTATTTTTAGCATTTGCTTTTTATGTTAAGAAAAGAATCTTAAGATTTCATATACATAAATGAAATTATTACTTTTACCTAGTCCTTGAGTTACAATAAAAATACTTGAACTTGTTTGGAGGTCATTATTTAAACCCACAAGCCCTTTACCTTGTTAATTTTTTTTTACAAAATTACACACATTACAGTTATGTTTTTTTATTTGTTTAAAAATATTTCCAAACGAACAAAAAAGTAAAAATAAATACATAAACAAAAAACTACTTGTTTAAATCAACTTGTTGACATGCCTACACGGCTTTTAAAGCCCCTGACGTAGTAACTTACAAGTGATTCAACCAAGCGTTTACATACATATTTTTTTTAATTTAAACTGGCACAAAAAGCCGGTTAGTTGGTTGATTGGCCGTGCACTTGAAATTTTTCTACTACAAACAAAAAAAAAAAAAAAAAAAACAAAAAAAAAAAAAAAAAACTAAAAGTAATGAACGAAATTACTAAAACAATAAAATTTTTATAAAATCCGGTTTTAGTTTCAAGTGAATTGCAGAAATTGCAAGAAACATTTTTTAATGCAATGAAACATATTTTAATTGGGATAAATACAGACTAGACTATAGACTAGACTATAGACTAGACTATAGACTAGACTATAGACTAGACTATTGACTAGACTATTGACTAGACTATAGACTAAACTATAGACTAGACTATACACTAGACTATAGACTAGACTATAGACTAGACCTATAGACTAGACTATAGACTAGACTATAGACTAGACTATAGACTAGACTATAGACTAGACTATAGACTAGACTATAGACTAGACTATAGACTAGACTATAGACTAGACTATAGACTAGACTATAGACTAGACTATAGACTAGACTATAGACTAGACTATAGACTAGACTATAGACTAGACTATAGACTAGACTATAGACTAGACTATAGACTAGACTATAGACTAGACTATAGACTAGACTATAGACTAGACTATAGACTAGACTATAGACTAGACTATAGACTAGACTATAGACTAGACTATAGACTAGACTATAGACTAGACTATAGACTAGACTAGACTAGGACTATAGACTAGACTAGACTATAGACTAGACTATAGACTAGACTAGACTAGACTATAGACTAGACTAGACTAGACTAGCTAGACTAGACTATAGACTAGACTATAGACTAGACTATAGACTAGACTATAGACTAGACTATAGACTAGACTATAGACTAGACTATAGACTAGACTATAGACTAGACTATAGACTAGACTATAGACTAGACTATAGACTAGACTATAGACTAGACTATAGACTAGACTATAGACTAGACTATAGACTAGACTATAGACTAGACTATAGACTAGACTATAGACTAGACTATAGACTAGACTATAGACTAGACTATAGACTAGACTATAGACTAGACTATAGACTAGACTATAGACTAGACTATAGACTAGACTATAGACTAGACTATAGACTAGACTATAGACTAGACTATAGACTAGACTATAGACTAGACTTTAGACTAGACTTTAGACTAGACTTTAGACTACTATAGACTAGACTATAGACTATAGACTAGACTATAGTCTAGACTATAGTCTAGACTATAGACTAGACTATAGACTAGACTATAGACTAGACTATAGACTTGACTAAAGACTAGACTATAGACTAGACTATTGACTAGACTATAGACTAGACTATAGACTAGACTAAAGACTAGACTATGGACTAGACTACTATAGACTAGACTATAGACTAGACTATAGACTAGACTATAGACTAGACTATAGACTAGACTATAGACTAGACTATAGACTAGACTACAGACTAGACTACAGACTAGACTATAGACTAGACTATAGACTAGACAATAGACTAGACTATTGACTAGACTATAGACTAGACTGTAGACTAGACTATAGACTAGACTATAGACTAGACTATAGACTGGACTATAGACTAGACTATAGACTGGACTATAGACTAGACTATAGACTAGACTATAGACTAGACTATAGACTAGACTATAGACTAGACTATAGACTAGACTATAGACTAGACTATAGACTAGACTATAGACTAGACTATAGACTAGACTATAGACTAGACTATAGACTAGACTATAGACTGGACTATAGACTAGACTATAGACTAGACTGTAGACTAGACTATAGACTAGACTATAGACTAGACTATAGACTAGACTAGTAGACTAGACTATAGACTAGACTATAGACTAGACTATAGACTAGAGTATAGACTAGACTATAGTCTAGACTATAGACTAGACTATAGTCTAGACTATAGACTAGACTATAGTCTAGACTATAGACTAGACTATAGACTAGACTATAGACTAGACTATAGACTAGACTATAGACTAGACTATAGAATAGACTATAGACTAAACTATAGACTAGACTATAGACTAGACTATAGACTAGACTATAGACTAGACTATAGACTGGACTAGACTATAGACTAGACTAGACTATAGACTAGACTAGACTATAGACTAGACTATAGACTAGACTATAGACTAGACTATAGACTAGACTATAGACTAGACTATAGACTAGACTATAGACTAGACTATAGACTAGACTATAGACTAGACTATAGACTAGACTATAGACTAGACTATAGACTAGACTATAGACTAGACTATAGACTAGACTATAGACTAGACTATAGACTAGACTAGACTATAGACAAGACTATAGACTAGACTAGACTAGACTAGACTATAGACTAACTAGACTAGACTATAGACTACTATAGACTAGACTATAGACCTAGACTATAGACTAGACTATAGACTAGACTATAGACTACACTATAGACTAGACTATAGACTAGACTATAGACTAGACTATAGACTAGGACTAGAGACTAGACTATAGACTACACTATAGACTAGACTATAGACTAGACTATAGACTAGACTATAGACTACACTATAGACTAGACTATAGACTGGACTATAGACTAGACTATAGACTAGACTATAGACTAGACTATAGACTAGACTACAGACTAGACTATAGACTAGACTATAGACTAGACTATAGACTAGACTGGACTATAGACTAGACTATGACTAGACTATAGACTAGACCATAGACAAGATTAGACTATAGACTAAACTAGCCCAGACTGTAGACTAGGCTATAGAGCAGACTACGATAGACAGATACGATTCTAGATTTCATTATAGATTAATGTTAAACTTCAATTGAAAACATAAATTTTAGGTATAATGACTTATTTTGCTAAAATCGTGCTGAAACATCTACTTCCTTTGAATTAAAAAACTCATCCATCATATTAAACATGAAAAAGTTATGTTTAACAACATAATCTTTAGTTCCTAAATAATGTATTGAAAAATATAATATAATGATAAATACATTTGCAATCTTAGAACTACAATACAAATATTATTCTTTTTATACTATTATTAATTTCTCATAGTAATTGTTTGTTGGTTTTTTTGTCTTCAAGAGGAAACATTTAAAGAGCGGAAGATTTAACTGAAACTGAAATTTTACTTAGTCATGTTAACAGATTTTTTTGCGCTTTTTGGCATATAGATAAAGTACTGAATTTCGCACTTTAAATACAACAAAAACTTAAAAAAAACAACAAAAACTTTATTTGTTAAAGTAGCCAGCAATTGAATAGGAAAGATTCATAAATTGTTTAAATTTTTTTAGAAACACAATTGAAAATAAGAGCAGTTGAACCCCTACTACCATTTTTGTAACATCTTCAATTTCTTTTGAGACTAAACTTCCGCCATGTCAATATAGACTTCTAATTGACACCGATACTGACTACTACTTTTGTTTCTATAACAAGTAGTTTTACCCTTAGTGAATCATGCCAATTTCATTTTAATCTCTATATAAAGGAAGTTTTATTGTGTGCAAATATATATTCTCCGGATTGAGAATCGTACATAAATAGTATTTGTCGTTCGTACGTTAATCGAACTGCTGGTCAATTGAAATTCTTTAAACAGTATTAAACATTTTTTTTATAGACAATAAAAAAACGGCATAATTAACTGAATTATTTTTTTTCTTAAAGTATGATTATTTATGCATTATTTATAAAAAAAAAACTGATTATACGGCCAACATGCGATCAGAGGAACGTTTGAAAATATTAAATTATTTGTTGATTTTTTTCACGCATTTGTTTTAGTCACACATTTACATATTTGTTTAAAAATAGTTTATAGCGAATGGGAAAAAATGTTTTAGTCGGCTGTTAAAAACACTTTGTGGAAAATTTTAAATTATTTTAGCATCGAA